AGTATCCTTGCACACGAAGCAAAGTTGGTGGGTCCTGTGCAGTACCGCCATCTTGCCTCGCCCATCTCCTTCCTTGTCCAGCGATGGGTATGGGAAGGAACAGGAAAACGAGGCATTATGAGCAGCTTCCACCGATCAAGTCGTAGTCCACATGCCAACTGCTGCGGCTCCAAGAATGCACGGTCGACGCCTTGTTTTCTGGGAATCGAGACAAAATAGCAAGACATCAAGATAGCGAGCCGATCGGTCTCCCGTGCAGCACATGCACGGTGGGGGATGGCGAGACGTCGTAGCAGAAGACGAAGAGCATGTTTTCCAGCAGCCAAAAAGAGGTCTCCGTGTACTCACTGCCGACAGCCCACCGTCAGTGCCATCCTTCCACCGGTGCAAATGCTCCTACACCTACATGCATGCATGCGTGCATCCCTTTCGGCGTGTAAATTCCTCGCCTATCTCATATGCTCGTCCTGACGCCAAAAGCAAGATCAGCTGGACGACTCGACGTGCAACGTCCACTCGGGCCCTGCCGATTCCAAGATTTCATGCCTTGCTCTTCTCAAGTGTTCTCTGTTTTATGCTTGGAAGAGTCAACCGATGCCGAATTCCTCCACTCCAAACACACGACACATCTATCGACGTCTTCATATGTATAGGATTAGATCATCGGGTCTACGTATGTGAATGCTTTTGTTCCGGTCGACATTTAGCAGATTAATTCTTAATGGACCTATGCGACGATGGTTGACGATGATGAAGATTCTGTAGCTGTATGAATAGAGCAAATCTTCTCCACCAACATCGACTGTATGACCATATGTCGCAGTAAAGCGTCGTTTGAGATCAGAAAGCAAACGGGACGTGACTGATACTACGTTGAGCAGATTGATCTGAAAGCTACCAGCTTTTCCACTGCACAGTGCAGATATGTAAATTGGAGAGCGACGTTATCCAAAACCATATTGTGTACCTTATTACTTGTTTTAGATATCAAACATTGGATGCTCGATCTCCCACGCTCCCATGTTTTGTTCGAAAACAGCAAGCTCTTTACTCGAGTCTCGAGGTAAGGTTGACTGTTGTTCGATCAGAGAGAAGATGACGACTAAGTAGTCCTCTCTCTTTGTGACGTCTCTTCTTCACCTTCGGCCAATCCCATCACACTTGTCGGGTCAGCAGCGCTTCGGACACCCGACAAAGAAGACTGTACACTTCTTGTCGTTATAATACGATGAGATAATGAAAGGGAATGATTTACTCCGAGCAGACAGTCTCTTATAAAGCCCTCTGCATCGTCTTCGTGAGAGGAGGAAGGAAGAGGGATGGATGCAGGAGGAGGAGGTAGTGAGAAGTGCAGCAAGATCCGGCACATAGTTCGGCTGCGGCAGACGCTGCGGCAATGGAGGCGGAGGGCGGCGGCGCCGTCGGACGTGCCGGCGGGGCACGTGGCGGTGTGCGTGGGTAGCAGCTCGAGGCGGTTCGTGGTGCGGGCGTCGCATCTCAACCACCCCGCTTTCCGGGATCTGCTCCGCCAGGCCGAGGAGGAGTACGGCTTCGCCTCCCGCCCCGGCCCACTCTCCCTCCCCTGCGACGAGTCCCTCTTCGAGGACCTCCTCCACCTCATCTCCTCTTCTTCTTCTTCTTCTTCTTCTTCTTCGAGGTTCCCAGACTATAATCTCGATGACTCGGAGAAGCTCTCCCGCGCTTCTTCCTGTTGCTGCGCCGTCGGCCAGTGGCTGCACGCCGCTGACTCACTGCCGCTTCTACACCGCCACCGTCTCTCCTAGAAGCCCATCTGCTGAACCTCAATGCAAATTGCCGGAGGTCGATCCAAAAGTTGGCTTTCTAATGTTATTACTACTGAGAAAACAAAACGAAGCGATCACATGCTCTTCACTCTTTGCGTGCTGCATACTTAATATCGAAGGACGGTTGAAGCGATCACGTCAAGGGTCAAAGGGAGGGCAATGGTCTCTTGCTCAGAACCGTAGAGCCCACCTGAGGCCCGCCGACTCTCGGAATGGTGATGGAGGACACAATCGTACGTTCCACTGCAAGCATCAGCTCCATCCAAAAAAATAGATGTTTCCTTATTGTACTGTGAAGCCTTAACGATTAACCAAGGCATATATAACTTGCTCATCTCTCTCTCTCTCTCTCTCTCGGAGTCCGCTGCACGAATCAACAAGACATTAAGGAGAATTAAACGCACGTCACTTTAAAAATAAATGATAAATATTCGAACATCCCTTTCTATTTGCGCATAAATCTCTCATATCTTAGACAATTGCGTAAACGAAGTCTGTGGTATCCACCATAATGTCCTTCTGTCGAACACCTTGTTGGTACACCGACTCGAACAGTGAAAAGCATGTCCTGCCCATGTTCGAGGATCCAATCAAGCACTTAATATCCGGATGCCGTGGGACTTTGGAGCTTCTTTAATTGGCTGCTCGATCGGTCGCTCGTCTGGCTCATCGATCGGCCTTGCCAACTAAGTCTTTGACGTAGAAGGCGTGGATTGGTGCTCAGGAAAATTAGAACCCAGGAAGGTTAAAGGCTTGTATATGCACTGAGCCATGGCAGGGAAGAGGAAGGAGTGCATGCGCTTAGCTACCTGAACTCTTCATCCACCGTGACACAGCTCGTGAGAGATGATGATCGACAAAGATCGGGGGACCCCTATTTGATCCTGGTAATGGTGATCGCAGGAAAGGCGCTTGCGAGGAGCATGTCATGTGCATGGCCGGGACAACGTTATAGTGGCGTGGCAGTCGTTCACTGAGCATCTCTCATGGCGTCACGTAGTAAGGAGTTCTGCAGCATCGATCGATGTGCTGTAGTAAGTACATGGACCCTCCTCCTTTCGTCTCGTTCCCTTCCCACCGCTACGTTGCCCTTGTGATTACGAGCTCATCGTAATGCTTTGCGTGATTACATGCTCACATGTCCGGCGTATCCTTGTGTGAATGATTGGCTGCACGTCTCCCCCTCTCTCAATACCAGATATAGAGTTTGTCTCATAGACGCTGGAGAGCATGGTTGATCAGCACGAGGGAAGTGACTGTTTGGGTACAAAAGCTCATTCATGGTGTGATGGAGGCTTCGACATGGGCTGCTGAGCATCGTTCATCTCCTCGAGCAGAAGAAAAGTGCATATGTGATTTTATGGTATGATGATGTATCACAAAAAGAACACCATGAACAATGGCCATGTTTGGATTGGATGTAGACTAGACACACTAGAGAGAGAGAGAGAGAGAGAGAGAGAGAGATGATCGTAAAGGTCAGCAGAAGCAGAGTCGCCTCCTCTGCTGCGCTTGGTCTTGACTTCCACTTCACCTGAGGGCAGAGGTGAGGGAGCGGAAGACCACCTCGTCGCATGGGATAGTGAGGCCCATATGGTGCTCGAAGCCGAACTCTTCCTCGGCCTGGCGGAGGAGGGCCTGGAACTCGGGGTGGTCTAGGTAGGAGATGGGCACGATGAAGCGGCTCCGGTTCTTGCCGACGTAGACGACGAAGTGGCCCTTGGGCACGTCCACCGGCAGCCCTTCCTCCTCCTCCTTCTCCCTCCCCGAGCCCGAACACCGCCTCAGTATCTGCCTCAGCACCGCGGTCTGAGGCGGCTTGTTCTGCTTCTTAATCACCATGTTTGTTATGCTGCGCTCGCTCACGCCACGACGAGAGGCCGAGAGATCGAGAGCATGAGAAAGAGAGGAAGGTCGGCGGGGTTATGAATGCTAGCAAGCGAGGCAAAGTGGGAGAGGTGAGAGGGACGGACAGGGGCATGTGGTGAGGTGGGATGAGCAGGGAAAAGGACGCAGAGGACGGGATAGGGGCGGGGTGGTGTCGGGTGGTGCGGCCGTGCAAAAGGACATGCAAGGCGGACACGCCCCGTGGCTAATCGATCACTGCCAACTTAATCTCCAATGGTTCCTCAGGAAGAACCATCTCCTTGCTCCCGTTCCCTCGGCTCTTCTCCATAGCACAGGCAAAGAAAGATCCACGCGAGGAACACTGTGTCGATCAGCGTTCCTAATGATTCTTACTTCAGCTTCAGCTATATATCAGAACTAATCCTATCCATTAGACTTCGATACAGAACATCTAAACATCAGGAAAGCTTATTGTCGAGCTCTTCGAGAACCCCCCGATGCCGTCAGAGAGACAGTCACCACTGTCCTTTCCAGTTTCATGCATGAGAGGAAGGGGTAGTGCGCCGTACTCGAGGGTACGATCCCTTGCTGAGGTTCGTGTCATCATGGCTATGGTTGTGGCAGAAACCATGTGGTGCTTCCCCGCCCACTGCCTGCTTCAATCCATCTCACCTTTCAATGCCATTTTAGCGGTCAGCTTCATCTACCTTCGTCCACCGTGCTTCGTCGCAGACGAGGAACGCTGCCACCCGTACTTTGTACTCTTTTAGCGCTCGCGGACCCCTTTCCCCGCTCTTCACAACACTTTCAATCTCAGAGGCTCACACAAAAAGCTACATAAAGAAATCTTTTGGGCGATTTTTCTAGAAAAAAAAATTATATTTTGATAGTTTCGGTCGGTACTCATCAAATTTTTTATCTTGCTTTTCTATCAATTTTAAATTGTATTTTTATTTACCTCATTTATAGTATTTTTTAATAACATTTATAATATTTATTAAGGTACTAAAAACATTATAAACGTTATTGAAAATATTATAAGTGGTTTTATATTATATATTTTTTATTATCATTACTTGTATATTATTATAATATTATATTTTTAAACTTATAATTGGTTTGATGATGTTATGAGTTCATTTGGATCATTTATACAGGTATTTTTATTGTGATGATCAAAATAATATAATAATAATTTTTTATTTATTTTAGTGATATTATTCTTAAACTATTGTAAATATATATTTAAATTATGATATATCAAATAATTTCTATTATGTTTTGATTATATTACACCCATTTACAATGTTTCAAATAGGTTTTACAAACACTATAATATACCAGTGAGGAACAAAGATGAAGATGGAGTTCTTGAGCAAAAGAAAAGGACCAGTGAGGAACAAAGATGAAGCTGCTGAATCACCAATGGAGTGCAGTTGCCAGTAGATGCAATAAATTGGAAATGCATCAGGTAATTGTGATGGCAGACTACACAGCTCTGTATTGCACATGAATGCCATGTTACTCTTGGCCCTCACTTTCCTGCATGGGTACAAGTGTTGGCCCCATACAGATCATAGCAAACCAGCTGCTTCCTCTTCTGGAACTACTCTCAACACTGGAACCTCTCAAGGTCCAATCCAAGATGAGATAGGAGGCTAAAGTTTCTTTGGAGTATGATACCCAATAAAGATCAGAGAAGACTGCTGCATGATCATGTGAAGTAAGACTGGGATCTGAATCCATTCATCATGGTTAACAAAAGGATGAGAAGCAAATTGAGTTGTCTGCATCACAAAAAAGGCTCAATAAAATGGTCTATCAGATCTTGGAAGAGACATCACCACTGTGCCATAGATGAGATGGCACTCCCAATACACATGATTTATCCTTCTTGGAATGAATGAATGAATAAATAAATAAATAAATGCTATAATTCCTCACCACATGAGCATTCTACATTCTATTTGATGTAATTGTCAGATAAAAAATGACTGGGTCAGAACTGGCACATGAGCTTCTCTGTGTTTGCTGCTGGGCTTCTTCTGCTGATAAAGGTGAACATGCTGCAACTGATGAACTGGGCCTTGGACGAGTCCCTGTCCTTGTGGAGGTAGTGCCCAAGCAGCATCCATGGCTATGTCAAGCAATGCCTCAACAAAAACAAAAGATTTTTATTCTCATCCTCCTGAATTCTGCCAGTAACAAGTGTTGCAGAATGGCTTACCCTCTGCTTCAAAGTTGCAAGATCTCATTATGTTGATGAACACAAACATATAATTCTTGATCACCATCACTGAATAAACAGCTTTAAGTTACTGATCTTGAATGTGCTCCTCCGCAGAGATTGTCTTCCTCCCTCAGTTGCCTACTCTGTCATGCAGTAACACCTCTTCTTTAATTTCCCAAATATGCAGTTTACATTTTTGTTTCTTATACAATAATAATAATTACAACAACAACAACAATAGATTTCTGTATCTATGGTGTCGGACAAATCTCTTGCTCTTTAATGCTTTCACCTCCCCTCTGTCGGTCCTCACACTCACATGGGAGTCACCAAAATATGACAAGAAAGGGTCAGGATTTTGTTGGACTTCTGGAAGATGCTTGAATCCTCATTTGGATTGCAGAGTAAGTCGACTCCAGTAAGTTACTCCGGTCACATGCCGAAGAACAGTAAACTCACGGCCAAGTTAGTGTCACCTGAACTGAAATCGACATCCGAAAAATTCCGATTTAACGTGGCGTAAAATGCATCCCGGACTGGTCTCCTGAAGAAATATGTCTCGAGTTGCTGTGTTCTTATTCCCTGTTGTGATCCCGGCTGGTATCTATTGAGCATCTCCAGAGGAACTAGCATCGAAAAGGAACGTAACAAGAGAGGAAAGCGTGATGGGTCGCCATCAGGTTGTAGGCAGCGAGTTGCCATCAATGGTTCGGAGACAACTATTACTTTGGGAAAAGTTGCATCTGAGCTGCAAGTCGTCTTTGTTTGAAGATGATGGAGTGTGAAGATCCGTGATGGCTTGTGAGATGCTCTGTCTCTCTATCGCTCTCTTCCTTCAGCCTCATGCGAACCCTTTGAGTCCTCTTCTTCACCGCCTCTCGCGTTTGGTCGCGGAAGGCTGCTGCTGCTTGCATGAGGGAGGGGAGGGGAGGGGAGGGGAGGGGATGCCGGTGGTGATTGATGGGGACAGTGGGGCTGTTCTTCCTTTCCCCCTTTTCCTAGTTCCCCTGGACATTATGAGATCGTTGATTGATCGGGCATCACGAGTTGGCACAGAGAAGATGGAAGAAAAGGTCGCTGAGACGCACAGCCATGCAGTTATCGCCGGCATGTCAGCGGAGGTGGGGGCTCGTTGCCGACAGGCCATGTAACGACTGCTGGCGGCCCGGCATCTTTGAGACCTTCGTCGCCCACCCCAAAAGGTGGCGGAGGAAAAGGGCAATCGTACCAGCGATGATGCTTTCATACGCATGTCACCCCTCGCCTCTCTCGTCTGCCTCTCCTCCCCCCACGAATCAGAGCGCATGGTATCTTTTCCGGGTGCCGCTTAACTGGGTTGTGAAGTTTTTGGCACCAAACCCACCGCTGCGACCAAACATATGCGACTCACGTGACCAACATATTATATATTATATATATTATTAACAAGCATAATTTATAATTAACTTATAGGAAGTACGTACAATTTTCATTCAAGCTTGGAAATCGATAGATATAGGCACGTGCATTGCACGTTGGCCACCATAAGAAGAAACAAAACCGAATTAACTGACCAAAAATAGCGTGTTATTAAGACAGCGGGGATACGAATTAGATGGTGAGGAAGCACGTCAGAAAACAAAGGTGGGAGCAATGGATGCACAGTTGTGGGTTGACCAGCAGCAGAACATGCGCTATAAAGCTTAGATGGCTTTTTCCTTGCGAAAGCCTTCTCTCGCGATGTGACCATCATCCCCATGACAACGCCCCTTCACCTTATCATCCCATGTCTTCTTCCACCTCTCTCTCTCTCTCGCCACCCTACCCTGCACTCGCAGTAAACACCGTGAAATTAGATTGTGTTATGCTATATATTATGTTTAATTATTTTATGTAAAGATTGAAGAGAGGATGAAGATTAGTCATACATTGATAAAATTTAAAAATAATTTTATTAAAAAAATTTGATATCTTAATCAATTTGATGTGATTTGAACTTATATATATATAACTCATAACGTGTTACTTATACGAAGAACAAGATTGAGATAATTTTTCTAATCTAATTTCTTATTTTACGGATATATGATATTTTATAGAATATTCTACGAGAAGATAGTCTCTAACTACTTTTAACAATTTTTTCATAGTCTCTTATCCATGTGAGCGACAAGAAAGGATTATCCATAACTATTTGTCTTAAACCTTTATTCACATGAGTAGACAAGTGGAAGGTTTTCATCATCTTTTTTTTTATCTTAGACACGACCGATGATTACGTGTTGAATAATAATTGATTGATTATGTATTCTTTATTAATTTGAAACTTATAAATTTATATTTTTATTGAATACATGAATATATAAAGTTATTGGATGAAATTTTCATAAAAGACTATTTTTTGAGCTTTTTTCAATAGATATTTAATTAATTTAATTTCTCAAAATGCTCCTATTTGTTCTAAAATTATTCTTTGTAAAACAACTGGAATAGTACCAATTCGTAAGGTGAATTGGTCAAAATATTTAGTTGTAGTATATTTGAGAAGACAGTATTCTGATAGAAATATTATAATTGATATAAACATCTTTTATTTCTAAATCAGTAAGGATATATATTTAAAATTATATTTTTGTATATGGATAATTTTTTTATTAGGTTTTGAGTCTATTTATCCCAATTATAACATTTTTGATGTGAGCCTATTCAAAGACATATAACTGATAAATAAATCTTATATACGAGAAATTAGGCTGATTTATCCTATAAATCGATACCGTTTTAATAATCTCGGGAAAAAAAAAACAAAACACTTTCAAACGAAGGGAAAAAATAAATAAATTTTTAATGTGACTAAAGCAATCTTCTCAGATTCACTGTGAGGATGATTGGCTATGCAGGAATCGAAAGTTGCAAAGGCGGGATGAACAGGACAATTATGGGCTTCTGTCTGAGGCATGAACACGAACAAGCATCTTCTCATGTCACCTTTGTCTCATAATAAACCATCGAGCTCACTGTCAACAAATAGAATGGTTACAGTATTCTCAAAGATTCATTTATCCTTATGCCGAGGGTGACAATATTAATTATTATTTCGCTGCCTGATAGCTTACTTCAATCGTATCAATGAGGAGATAAAATGTTACTCCGAAAAGAATTCTCACTGACTTAAGTGCATCGAGTGTTGCGTAAATCAATCTGATGAGGATAATAATGGCAATAAGACTCGGATTGACGTAAACCACTCCAGATGACGCCTCGCGCCTCTGTTAACCTAACAACACCTGGTCAACACGGATCGAAACGCTGACCGAGACACATTAACATCCTGCTCAGGCTTGCTCCTTCACGTCACGCCAACGTTGATATCAGATGTTACCAGGAGTATGACCCTATTCCCTGCAAGCGGGCACATCAGACAACGGTAACCTTCACTATAAAAACTCTCGCGCTCCGAGGAAATAAAATAAAAAAGAGGAGGACAACTAAAAAACCCCTGCAACTATTCACTAACTTGATCGTCGGAGGGGTCGGGCCGAGCTCTCCCGACCCGACCTGTGTGCAGGTGCGAAGACGGAGGCCTCCCACTAAAAGTCCGGACGAGGAGCCCCCTCTCGGAGGAAACGGTGACCCCTTTGCGATCGGACCACCGCAGTCGATTTTCTACGGTCTCAAGGATCGTCCCAGGAAGATCCCCATCATTCGAACCCGAACCAAACCGCGTCGGCCCCGAGACCGGGGCTTAAAGTTATTTACACTAACCCAATCAATCATAGCAATGCCCAAAAATGCAGCTTCTATCGTCCATGCATCTTAACCATATGTGATGTTTCTACGTGAACCGACAGCGTTTCATTCACGAGTTATTCTGATTTTAAAAATTAAATTAATATTTAATTAATATAAAAAAAATAAATTTATGAGAGAAAAAAAATCATATATCTCGTTTAAAATTAAAAATAAATAAAAACTACTGTTGATTTTACCTCAAAAGTATCAAAAAATAGATTTGTAGATTTTAAACGGAGGACGAGCGCAAGCGAGACCTAAAAAGCCGCGATCAATCAGGAACGAGACAGCAGCTGCTTCCTTTGCGAGCACCGGCCCCGTGTCTCTCTCCCCTTCTTTTCCCAGCTTCGCCGTAGATACCACTACTACTTCTGCTACTGTCTCTCTCTCTCTCGCCTTCGTGGGGCCCTCGGCGTTCCCCCAATTCGTCGCCAGGGCAGCGGAGGAGGACGACACCACGAAAAGCAACGCATCGTTCCTCTTTTTCTTCCTTCTCGATTTGATTTGAACTTGTGTCCCTTCGCTCTCCCTTCTCTCTCTCTCTCGTTGTCTCGCTCGTTTCCCCCTCCTATTCTCCACCGGCTTCCCGTGACGACTCCTCTCTTCCATTCCATTTCGTCTCCAATCTCCTCCGAGCGTCGGGATCGAGGAAGGAGCATCGCATTATATCGTGGGAGAAGAGGCGAGGGCTTCGTCGGCTTCATCTTCGCTGCTTCATCCTTTTCTTCGTTCGAGGGAGGGGGATGGCTTCCGGGAGCTTCAGGAACGGAGGCCCCAAGCTTACCTCCAAGCTCGACCGCCAGCCGTCCTCCGCCGCCTACTCCACGCCCAAGCCCTCCTCCAAGTCCAGGCCCTCCGCCGCCCCCGCCTCTCGCCGTGGTGGCTCCGTGGCTCCTGCCGCTGCCCACTCCGCTAGCAAGGCCGGCGGCGATGCCGGAGGTTTGTGTTTTACTCCTCCTGAACACCGAGATCTGCTTAGATCGCAAGCATCCCGCGCTTGATCTGTGATTTTGTTGGATCTCTCGGAGCGGAAAATGAGTCTCGGAAACCCGTGCCTCCTTTTCCCTGTCAAGTGCATGATTTCATTTTGAGCCGCATTGTTTTTACCCTAAAATAGCAATTTTACCCTAAAATAGCACAGTGTCGTTCTTTGGGGTTTGGTGTTTGACATTTAAAAGCTTCACATTCTAAGGTATTTCGTCTGCTGCTCGCTGGGCGGGTTTCCTGAATTTTCTTTTGGCGGCCGCCTAAGCAATGAGTGGAAGGCGGCACTAGATTTTGATCGTTACGGTATTAACATATTGACGAGTGCAGTCTCGATATTTTTCAATTGTGTATTGAGATATGCAATGGGATCTGTTTAGATTACTTAAGCTGACAAATGGGTTGTAGTGCCGGAATGCCTCCACCGGGGAGGAAATGCTGTTGGGACTACTGACCCCAAGATCTTATGATTGCGTCTGATGTACGGTTGAATGGATAAAGGTGGCAATCATGGGTGGTGAGCTTTCATGCTTATGTGATTCACTAAAATTGCTTGCTCCTTGAGGCACTGCAGATTGGACAAATTGGACAGGGGAAATGGGCGCTAAGCTTTTTATGATTTAAAAAAAATTGTTGATATAGCTTACCATTCAACATGTATAATTCAGAACTATATGGTTCTGGACAATCTTGGAAGCTTTTTACCGGGGGCAAGAAAACAGATAGATCCTGGCAGCCAGTAATCGATGGGAAAATGATCTATCACTATCTGTCTTTCTCCTTGTAGAATGCATAACAAGTTAGTCCAACTCTCCTCCTTTGATGTCAAGTTCGAGGAAGTTTCTGGAGTTACATCAGATCAAAGCTAACTGTGTGAAGATGCATTGAGAAGGTGTCAGGGTGTCGCTAGTGGGATTGTGCACGGTGAATTTGAAAGAGATGAAGGAAAGGAATGATCACTTTTGGCTGTTTTCTGGATCACATTGTTGGAAAGAAGCTTGATGTTTCCTGGAAACTATGTATAGACAATCAGCAAGTGGTAACTGAAACTAAAAACAATCTTGGATTTGGGTTGAAGAAGGTAAAAATATTGTAAACGACTTCTAAAAGTCCTCAATAGACTGAGTCTGGAGCCATGTCTCATTTATTTTCATTTTCTTTCTTTATTTCTTGATCTTCTTCTCTTGTTGTGTTCTTTTGTGGTCCTTTTCTCTACATATATCTCCATTATCCTAAAATGGACTGATATGGTGCTCTTCTTTTCTGTTCTTTCTATAAAACAGTCTTTGCCCACTGCAACATGTCCTACTTTCTGTGCAGTATGGTGCAATTGGCACTATCATCGGAACTTGTCGAATCTTGCTCATTTGGGTTTTAGATTATTTACATAGACTCAGATATCTGGCTTGAGCAATGTCATCTGCAGGCTAAGTCCTAATTGGCATTCTTCTTATGTGATTTGTCCGAGGGGAAAGAAGGAATATCTCATGGAAGAATAAATAACTTGAGAGACGATGAATAAATTTATATTGATTAAGGTTTATGATCAATCATTGCCTTCATTAAGTACTAAAAGTTAAATTAACATGTTATACTTTTGTTGATAAAACATCTATTATATTTCCAACTAGAAGAATGACCCAAATGAGAAGATTTCGTTACTATCGTGACTGTGATATTGTTAAGTCTACATAATTATCCCTCAGTCATTTCTGGATTACCTTCAAGTTGCTAAAGGTATTCACAGTTTTTCATGTCCTTAACCAGTTCCTGGAAGGGTTCGAGTGGCTGTAAGACTCCGGCCTCGAAATGCAGAGGAGATGATAGCAGATGCTGATTTTGCTGACTGTGTCGAGTTGCAGCCTGAGGTTCTTGATAAATTCATTTTGTTTTATGTTGGAAATCTATCATATCTAAGCATGCTTATGATTTCATGTTACTGTGACTGCTTTTGTGTGGAATTTTGGAGCTTATTAATAGTGTCGCCAATTATTCTTTTTTATGCTGGGCTGCAGCTTAAAAGGTTAAAGCTCCGCAAGAACAATTGGGAGTCAGAAACCTATGAGTTTGATGAGGTGCTGACAGAATTTGCCTCACAAAAACGTGTGTATGAAGTTGTTGCAAAACCGGTTGTGGAGGTATTACACATGCCTGATACCTGATATTTACCATTTTGTTTCATGTTTACTACATCAGATCTATCTTAAACTTGGATACAATTTTTTGTGATGAATCATTAATGATAAGTTCGTATCCTTGTTTGACCCTATCTATGGACTATTTTGTCGAAGTTTGCTGTCTATCTTTTAGATGCTGCATCAAGTTCTTCCTCATGCACTAAACCTTTCCACATTGTGGCACAATCCCTTTCTGGTAATGCGCAGGTCGGTTGACACAGATCATTGTCAGGGATGTGCCCGTCAGCATGGGTATTGTGCTAGTCCCCATGATGACACAATGCGTGCCTTCATGCTAGTGTCATTACCTTGTTGGCATTGTTTGTACTTTGTATATGACAGCACAGTTGCCATGGCCTGCACATGCAATTCTTGCTAGTCGCAATGATAAATTGTGATGTCATTGGAACCATCATTCTTGTTAGTATAATGCTTTTAGGACTTGGTGTTGCATATGATTAGAAGTGATCAAATTTGTTGATATACTCATTATGTCACCCTTTCTTACGTAACCTAGCTTTGAAGGTGAGTATTGCATTGATTTTACCTTCATGGATGGTCATTTTATGAAAACAACTGTATTTTGCTATCTTTCAATGCATCCTTTATTTTTGAAGTTTCTGATTGGACCTAGTTTATCCATTTATCTGTACATCGCACTACTAAAAAGCCAAGAGGAATGGATTCATCTCCTACACAGAGGAGAAAAGTCTTGAATTCCGATTCCCCATTTTTTAATGATGTTTTGCTGATATCACTTCCCAGTAAACATGCACAAAGTAAAATTTCAGACTTCAATGAGATAAAAATTTTCCAAAGTAACAATCTCCAAGTAAAAGCCCCTAACTACATAGACACCTTATCTCCAGGTTGGCATCGTGAAAAGCTTCTAAAAAGCCATGATTTTATTTCTAAAAGGCATTTGTCATTCGTTAACTTCAGTATTCTGGCATCACACTCTGTGTTGCATAATTTTTTGGCAGTAGTTTGGAATCTTGTCTGGTTTGCAGTTTACACGAAGCACATGCTTTTATACTCATGGCATGTCTTTAATTATGATGCTCAAGTTCTTAATGAATTCATAGCATGAAGTTTTATTTTGCTTTGCACTGATTTGGGTTGGACATATAGAAGAGTTGAGATCACGTTCTAGTTTTATTTTGACTATTTCAATATGGTTCCTTGTACCACACACCTTTTCCTTTGATGTCAAGATATGGTTCTATGGAAAGTTTGGTTGGTTGCTTCTGCAAAATACTTTGTTCTGACACCTTGTATGTCATTCTTACCCTATGTTGAATTATATTTAACATCATAATTATCCTGTTTAGTGCGTATATTATTTATCAACTTTCGAAGATGATAAACATAAATGTTTAAAGTTTCCAGTTTGTGATTTGCTGAACTGCTTTACTGATAATGTAATTCTAATATATACTATTGCCTGTTTCGTCTGCTCAGGCTCATGAGCGGAGACTCAGAATTTCATCTTACTTCCTTTGTTCAACATCAAACGCTGTTACACATTAGATACTTGTTGTTGCTTGAAGCTAAAACAAACCTTGACCCTAGATTTTACAGGTTTAGTTTTCATAAAAATGATTTTGGTCCCATTTTTTAAGAGTATTGGATTCATCCACTTTGATGCTTAAGGGAGTCAATTTTTAGTCTCAGTTTGTAAAAGAGTATTCTTGTGATCACCCCATCTACCCATGATTGGAAGCTATGAACTTGTCCTTGAAAATTTTCATTAACAAATGAGCTCGTTCAAGAATCTATAAGTGGAATTGTTCACGAGCTTACTAAACCTAAATGTGTAAGGTTTGCCTTGCTCTAGCTTCACTCATTTAACAAATGAACTTGCGTCAGAATCAAACATGCTATATTAACTTTGGCAAACAAACTTGAGAGAGCTTTTAACTGAGAGAGCCTTTAATGAGCCAAACAACAAGCTGTTTTGCATTAAAATATATGTTAGGCTGCAACTTTACCATTATAAATATACTTCTTGTCATTACTTTTCAATTGTATTCTGATACTTCAGCTTGTGATGAGAAGCCTTATTTTTCTTCTGTAGAGTGTTCTGGAGGGGTATAATGGTACAGTTATGGCCTATGGACAGACAGGTACCGGGAAGACTTTTACTCTTGGAAGGCTTGGGGAGGAAGACACTGCTGCACGAGGCATTATGGTCCGTGCAATGGAAGACATTCTTGGAGATATGTCTCCGGAGACTGATTCTGTCTCCGTGTCATATTTACAGGTTCCTTTGCTGTTGGAATTTTGTTTGTTAAATGAAATCATAAAGCTTCATGTGTAGCCTGCTCAGATCTTGAAATCCATTCATGAGAATAACCTTTTCCGCAGAGAACTGATAATCTATCTTTATTGTTTAATATATAGCTATATATGGAAAGCATACAGGACCTTCTTGTTCCTGCAAATGACAACATAGCCATTGTAGAAGATCCAAAGACTGGGGATGTTTCACTGCCAGGGGTGACCACTGTAGAACTCAGAGATCAGAAAAGCTTTATGGAGCTTTTAAGATTAGGAGAAGCTCACAGGTTTGCTGCTAATACAAAGTTGAACACAGAATCATCTCGGAGCCATGCTATTCTAATCGTGAGCAAACAGTTTTTCTAAATGATAGCTTCTGTCTGTGGTAACTCAAAGTTCAAGTATAACTATTGCTGCATCATACCAGGTTAATGTCAAGAGGTCAGTTAAGGGAAGGCATGATGCCGATCAAAGTTTTCATGGAGAGAATGGGACTTCTTCCACCATGGTGACATCTTTTAGACCACCCATAGTTAGAAAAAGCAAGCTTGTTGTCGTGGATCTTGCTGGTTCGGAGAGGATTGACAAGTCAGGTATATATGATACATATAAAATCTGAAAATTTCTTGTGTTTCTTGGCATGTATCATAAAGTTTTAAGTTTTGCCAGCAACACCTATGTCAAGCATCCACCACAAGGGCAAGTGCTAGTATGCAAGCAATCTCAACACTCGGCATGGTCAGGCATGGTGATGGCACCAAAAAGAAGCTGAAAGGCAGGAAAACAAGAAAAGAAAATATTAAGTGGGATTTTAAACATGAGTTTCAAATGTTAATCATGTTAGGTTCACTATACTATAAGGAACAAAGGAAAAAAACTAAAATTGTTTGTGGTGACAATTGACATACTTCTTAAGTAAATAAAGGGAAGTGAGGGAGGAAAAAGAATGAGAAAAAGAGACTTACTTTCAGTAGCCATTGATCTTCCAGTTGTTGGTAGTCAGGAGAATTTGCTGGTTGGAGAAGACCCTTGTGGCCTTCAGTTATGTGGGAGAAAGAGAAGGTAACTGAGGAGAAAGATAGGATGACTCCTTGATTAAATTATAAGTGATGATATAACTCTTTCTTTTATAACATATATTTTGTTGCTGAAAAGAAACGAATTAGGTGGAATGGGTATAGTATGCCAAGATAAAAGTGAACATGTAAGACAAAATTGTCTTAACAATTCAGCTGTCTCATTAGGATGCTATAGAACAAATTTGAAGTATTTGGATATTTTCCAAACTATTAATACAGAATAATGTGACATGATAAACAATTGATTAAACCTGACACATGTTGCAAAGAAATTCACCATTTTTGTTCCACTAAACTGCTGGTAGTTAATATTTTACATGCTCCTTAAAGGTTCTTTGTGATCTTAAACACTTTTAGGACATATATATTATTCCATGTATGATGATATGTTTTACTTGTTAATGTTTTTGTTAAAAAATTGCATTTATGCCCCATAGGTGCTCTCCCCAAAGGCTAAACAATTACTATCCTGCATTAGTTCTCCTGAGCTTTTTTCAATCATGATGGGCACTGTGTCCATTCATATTCTGGTTGTTACTTGTACTGGATATAATTTCTACATAAATCTTACATAATTGGCCTGCTTTTATAATCTCTAACTAAAACTAACTGAAATGCTTAACATTTCTGACCTAAAGAAAATATGCTATTCCATTGGTCATAGATATTCTAAATTATGTTTGATGTGCTTAACGTTTCTGACCTAAAGAAAATATGCTCTTCCATTTGGTCATAGATATTCTGAATTATGTTTGATGCTTTGTGATGCCATCTTTGTTCACAGGAAGCGAGGGACATACACTGGAAGAAGCAAAGTCAATTAATCTTTCACTAAGTGCTTTAGGCAAATGCATTAATGCACTTGCTGAAAATAGTCCTCACGTTCCAGTTCGTGATTCCAAGTTGACTAGGCTGCTTCGAGATTCATTTGGAGGTTAGATCTAGCAGCCTGCTTGCTAGTTTATCAGAAATGTTGCCTTTTTCCATGTCTTACTCGATCACAATTTTTGTTGCATATTTTCCTTTTTTGTGCAAATGATACCAATGGTTGATTGTGAAAAATCATGAGCCACATATTGAAGATTTGTTTTTCCATTTATCGCTTATTCTGATCACATGCATCACTGGAATGTTGATTCAATGGTCTATCCTTTATGCTCAGTGAGTTTCCCTCTAATTTACATTTGTTCATCGAGAGTATGAATTTAGTTGAGACCTGATTATAGAAGGCTGAAAATGTTGAACTTTTATCAAATTCGTATCTTGATCTGTAAAAGTTTTTGTATGACAATCAACTGAAATTTGTATATTGATATTGAGGTTACTTGGTCCTGGTCCTTGTTTTTTGTAACATGTATATGTTTCACAGGCAGTGCAAGGACTTCGTTAGTGGTGACGATTGGACCTTCTCCTCGACACAGAGGAGAGACTTCAAGCACCATAATGTTTGGACAAAGAGTAAGTTTCTCATTTCACGTCGATGTTGCTTTGCCTTAAATTATTTGTAAGCCTTTATGCAATCAATGTTCCACCTAGAAACCAAAGCAACATATCTTACAGACAGTGCACTAGTGAATGCTGTATAAGTTATTATCTATTCCTTAAGAAGCTGTTTTTATTGGATATTTCCATTGTAGGCAATGAAGGTGGAGAACATGGTGAAACTAAAGGAGGAATTTGATTATAAAAGCCTGTGCAGGAGGCTTGATATTGAACTTGATAAGTTAATTGCAGAAAATGAAAGGCAAAGAAAAGATTTTGAAGATGAGATTGAGAGGATAAGAACAGAAGCAGACAGCCGTATTGCTGAAGCCGAAAGAAGCTATACTAATGCTCTTGAGGTATATTTTCAGATTTATCTTTTCAGTCCATTGATTGGCAAGTCCTTTACATCAGTCACTTAAAAGTATTTTGATGTTTGATCTAAGAAATTCTGGTTGCTTTTTAATTGATATTTTCCTGTTGTATACTAGAATCTTAATATTATTTTCTTTTATCCTGCAGTCCAGGGAATAATAAAAATGAAAAAAATTAGTAGTTAAATAGTAGTTTCTGGATGCTCGTGGATTCTAAGTATGAATTTGGACCTAACTCTTAGGCCAATCAAAATTTCATCAGTACTTGAAGCTTTTTAGTTTCACTTTATTCTATTATGCAGAAGTTATGCCTCATTTCTCAGCCTGTGACAGTCACAAGTTTGCATTGGACTTGCTGTGTAGTTTGTTGTTTCTGATTTAATCATCAATTACTAGAATATGACTGCTTTGTTGGTCTTTTCTCAAGTAGCTGTTTTGTTGTTCTGATCTTTTGTGCAGGATATGCTACATAGTCCGTCTTCTTTTTAATAAAATGTTCTCATACTGACTACTGATTTACATCCTTAAATTCATGATTTCCTTACTTTTTAGTTTTTACTATAACTGTGAGGGTCTCATCATCCATGTTGAAGGGCTTCAAATGTGGTTGTCCCCAGATGAATTCCTTTTGATAAAATGTTTTCATGCTTACTTCTGATAGCCTTGAATTCATTGTTTGTCCCCTATACCTGTTGGATATCATGACCTACTGGTTCAGAATATTTATGTTACTTTTTTAAACCCATAACATCTTATCCTCACTTTCTCGAGCCCCATGTTTCATCAGAAACATTTACTCACCCACCTTCTGACACCTATCCAAAACTTTCCTCACTCTGTTTCTTGCATGGTGCATGTACTTACATATTTCCTCCATCAGGTACCTCAACTCTCTTTTGCCCTTTTGCATATTTTCCCTTACTGATGCCTCAACTTTTATTTTTAATCTCATTCTTGAACGTGGTTTGGCCTTAACTATGTTATTGGCTTGTGATAAATTCTCCCTTGTGTTTTTTTCTTCTTATATAGAATGAGAGACTGAAGTGCCAACAAGATTATATGGACTCAATAAAGAAGCTTGAGGAGAAGTGGATGTCTGATGTGGAGAAAGCCAGAGCAGAGCACCAGGATGCGTGTCTAGAAAAGGAATGTAACAAGGAGGTATATAGTATATACTATATACTAATTTCCATTCAACAATTTCAGATACTGTCCTCTTGCTTATGGGCCTATTTACATGATCTCAGATTACTTGTGAATGCATCTATGAGATCTTTTTTTTCGTAATAAAAGCCTGGGTGGTTTAATAAGTTTAAGAAGGAAGCCAACTCTTTATTGGACAAATTGTTTGGTGTTCAAGATTAAAAAAGTGACAGGTTTGATATATCATAGGCATGCTTTAGAATAGAGTTGCATCTAGTTACCACATTAACTTATTGTATATGCTTATTTATTGGTCAAAATTACCTATTTTTCTGGACTAACAGATTATGGGCACACCAAGAAGCAATAGTCATTGGTGCTTTATTTTGATGGCTGCTTTTGATTCTTGTTTCTGTTTTCTTTTATAATGCTGAATACTGTATATATTCGTTACCATCCATAACCAGTCCTTTTCCATCTTCCTCTCCCTTTTTGACTCCTATGATTTGAATTAACTTGCAACTATTTTCTGGTGCTTTTAACAGTTTTTTTGGACACTACTCATTCTGTCTCATCTTTTTCTAGTTTGTATTGTTTGAACGAACTTAAAAACAGATATTTCTGGTTATCTCTTTCCTTTAATAGTAATTAATCTCAATTGTCGTAACTTTGTATGGAATTTTCAGATATACTACTCTAGTTTAACACTCCAATTGGCACATGTGGTCTTGTAGTTGTCATGTAAAACATGCCTTTTGGCCTTAGTGATAATTGACAAGAATAAACTATTGGTGCTTATCAAGGTACATCAACAAGTGGCAATGAATTTCTGGCACAGAAAGAGGTGATTACCATGCCAATATGACTATAGTGCATGCTGAATGTACCTAACTGTGCCAGTACTTAGCCTGCAACAGCATCCACTGGCCCTTATCCACAAGACATCGCTGGTATGTCACAATGTAACATGACACAGTGCACAGCAACATGTTGATATCCAATGTGGGTGTGGCACACAATCTTGATCCTTGATATTTGAAGATCATGTAACATACACTTGAAAGTTTAAACATTCTGCAAATGTTTGAATTTAGTTTTGTAATTCAATCATGTGGTTTTTAATTTGGTGAGACACATAACATTTGCCTTTTCTTTTTTCATGAATTATTCATAAATGTCTAACGATAATTAATTTTTGGTGCATAGGCTCCAACATCTAGCTCAGATGAAATTGCCGAAGTCAGACAGTTACTTGAGAGTGAAAAGCTTATGCGACAATCTTCTGAAGATGAGGTTAGCAACCTTAAAAGTGAAGTATCACATTGGAAAAATTTGGAGGTACGGTACCTCTTAATATGATTTGCCAGACCTATCAGTTTCTAGAATCAACCTGAACAGCAGATTTTCTGTATAATTTGCACTTTATTTGTCTTAGGCTGCTGGCAATGCTGAAATTATGAAGCTTCGCAAGATGCTGGACAGCGAAGCCAATCAGAAACAGAAGCTTGAAGAAGAAATAGCAATACTAAAAAGTCAATTGTTGCAGCTAAGTCTTCAAGCTGATGAGGTATGTAGTTGTACTATTGCTTGTGCGCGATCATTCAATTTGGGAAACAATATCTAATTCAATTGTCCTTTGATGATTACACTACTATATATTTTTTTGTGTTCTGATGCATCATGAGATTTATCACTTTATCACCTTTTTTGGTGTTCTGAAACAATTGGGTCCTTTTGTTACTGAAACACATTTGTTCACTGGATGCCAACATGTTGACCATCTTTTTTTCTGTTAACTGAAACAGCATGTTAAAAATCATAGGTACATGCATATTCAATTGTTTTGGGCTTTTCATGCTTGCACGCCTTGAAATTTTATTTGACCTATGATAAATATTTTTGTCTTTTTTGGTGCTTCTGGTTATATATCCAGCTAGTATTAAGCCATGTTCTCATTGATAGTTACTTCATTTCCTTAAATCAGACGAGGAGGAGTCTTGACAGAGGTGGGTCTGGGAAAGTCTTAACTGGATTTGATTCCCTTGTATCACAAGCTAGACATTCACAGCTTAGAGACTCAGCAAATGGACCTAAGGCCTCAATAGCTAAACTTTTTGAACAAGGTAAAATTTAAAAATTTGCTGATATTCCTTCAGAATTGTTAACAAATTGTGCTAGATGACCATGTTCTGTTGGCTAATGAATTTTATTATGGGTTTGTTTTGTTGATATTCTGGATTGGTTTTCCACACGGCAGTGGGTTTGCAAAAAATATTGTCATTGCTTGAATCAGAAGATCCTGATGTTCGAGTTCATGCAGTGAAAGTTGTAGCAAACCTGGCAGCTGAAGGTGAACTTTAATTTAGATGTCTCTTAATATTTATTCTGTAGTTATGTTAATTCTCCTCTTTCACTTTCTTTTTCCTGCACCACCTTTAAATTGCTTTCTTATAATATAACTTGTATACACTTGGACTTTACATAATCAAAACTCATTTTTCCAAAACAAAAAAAATCCTATTTGGTAGAAATAAGTCTTGTTGGATATGCTGCTATTACTATTTCATTTCAGTTTATATAAGTTAGGTTTTATACTGAAGAATATCAAGTATTGTAGGAATATGTTCTCGTTAAATTATTAGTGTGGTGGGCCTAATACGTCTCTAAGATGATAGTTTGTAACATCACAGTTGTTGTATACATCTGAAACTAGAGTTTGAAAGTTTCTACTCAAATGTCAGACAACACAAAACATAACAATGTGGAACTGAAATCAAATATTAAGGTTAATAACTAGTTAGCTAGGATCAAGGATTTTAATCTTTGTCCAGTTTTGGTTTTCCTTATCCTATTTGACTGGTATAGTTCCTGTGTATTGATTGGTATACTGATATGTACAGACTCATATAAATGAAAAAAAAGAAGAAGAATGGTATCGTAATAATATCGAGCTATATGTTTTGAGGCTGGTACTTGGTCAGACTGGAATATAGCGGTCCATATTGACAGTATGATTGAGATTGGATACCTTGGTTAGGGTACTGTTTTATGTTGAAATATTAAAGTTGTATGGTGTATATAGTATATGAGTGTCTCCTGAACTTAGTTCAGTCCCGACAGCAAGCGTTGTACAAGTCCAATGCTGGCTGCCACATGCCTTGCTGATTGGATACTTGCATGATCGTTGCTTGTACATGCTTGTATCTTACATGGTGAATGCAAAGCTTAGTTCATGATCATGTAATTGATATGCCCAAGATGTGGCAAGGCATTGGGATGGCAAATAACTTGAATGTTTTAGCCTTAGCATCAAGATGTGGTTGTGCTTGGTCATGGAGCCAGTGATCCTTGATACCATTTTATTGCATAAGCATGCTATTGAACCAGGTTAGTAAAATAAGACATGATATTGTATGCATTTTGTGTATCACTATGCCATGGAGATGGAGGACACATGGAGTAGCATAGGATCAAAGACCAAAATAAAGATTGCTTCATGGTCCTAAGATGCAGGTCAGCAGGGCAGATTGGAATCAGTAAAAAAATAAACAATTTTAAAAATGAAAGAAGAAGAAATAAAAAAGGTCATATAACTTCCCTTAAAAAGCTCTCTTTTGCTTACTCTTGGGCCCTTCCCATTTCGCTTGCTTCCTATTTTGCACGGTTGAAAACTTGGAGCCTTCGAAGCTTACTCTTTGATAGACTTAATACCTAGTCCCATCCATTTCCAGGCTTTATCATTCTTTTTATGTTTCTTTTGCCTCCATTATTTCTTTACTCTTAGATAGATGTCTTCTTTGTCGCTGCCTGAGGAATATTTCGGAACTTATATATCCTTCTTATCTTGCCACCACTGTCAATATCAAGTCTCAATTTATACCACTAGAGATTCAGGTGATTGTCCAACTTGGTTTCTTTTGGAAAACCAGCCAAATTGAAATGACTGGTAGAAGTTGAATTGTGCTTGGTCATGGACTAAAGAAATTTTGCATACCATGTGAATTGAATAAGAAAACCTATGTGCAGACGTAGAGACAAGAAATTTGGTATCACACACGCACTGTGTATTACCACGCTATTAAATACTCACATGCCATTAAGTATCAGAGGAAACCAAGATTTATAACTAGACAATCCTGATCTGGATTTGCTGGATTGGGTCAGGATTGGCTACTTACATAATTGTTCTGCTCATAAGATGAATGAAATGCATCTTCTTTTTCAATGACTTAAATGCTTTAGTATTGTTTGTTTGTTTCTCTAAGTAATTAGTATCTCTAGCTTTTTCTGGGACTGAAAATTTTATTAGCTATGGGGACCTTTTTTTATGACCTTGAAAAATTGTTATTCTTACATTTTTTCTATTGTAAATAATGTTAAATTACATCTGACCAGAAGCAAACCAGGAAAAGATTGTAGAAGCTGGTGGTCTTACATCACTGCTAATGCTTCTAAGAAGTTCGGAGGATGAAACTATACGTAGAGTAGCAGCTGGTGCAATCGCCAACCTTGCAATGAATGGTAAGTATATGATGATTCCTATGCTGACCATGTTTTCTGTATATACTTAAATCTTGAATTTAGATCTATTCAGTCATTTTTGTATTCTCTAACATACTTTCTCGATTCGATATTGCTTTTGTCTTTGCAGAAACCAACCAGGAGCTTATAATGGCTCAAGGTGGCATTACCTTGTTATCTATTACTGCTGCTGATGCTGAGGACCCTCAAACACTAAGAATGGTTGCTGGTGCCATTGCTAATCTATGTGGAAATGGTAACTCCTTTAACTATCTTGGTTCAAGCTGCTAATGCTACTTATATAAATGTTATCGACCACATAATAGTTGGAATCAAAGATTTGTTGTTACTGTAACTGCATAATAGTAGGAAAATACATGACTCTTGGTCTTTCTTTTGGCATATGTTCAGTCAAGAATTCCATTGAGATGTTTTGTTATATGTTTGCCATTTCAAATTCCTGGGGTAGCTCTTCCACATCATTAGTAACCCACTAATTGAAGGGGACTGATGCAGCTATGCTATAGTATTTATTGTGAGCATTGTGATCAATAAGGTATAGCAAATACATGCGTAAATCTATCTTCAATGAGAAGCTTATAATATCATTTATAAGGGTATTTGTGATATTTACAACTTTATAAGGGTATATATGAAATATTGCATATGTTCCAAAGGTTTATATATAATTCCCCAAACTTGTTAATACCGTTTTGAATCTTCTTCACTTGGAAATTCTGTTGTTGCCATTTGGAATACTATCTTATTCACTTGTCTCTGGGTTCCTTCTGAAAGTATCTGTATTCTTAAGTTTTCCAAATTCTAAATAACAAGAAATATGCATAACTAGGTCAAAAGGTCAATCTCATATTAAGTGCCAATATTATTGCATAAGAATGACCAATATCCTAGGAATATGGTAAAATTTTCACTTCTGGTTGAAGTTTTCTCTTACATTTATATGATTTTTTTTCCTGATGTAGCTCTAACTTGTTATATGGTACTCATGTTCAACAACATGAATTCATCTGCAACTGAATATTAAAAGAATGTCACCAATTTAGCATACATGAGTCTTTGTGACATAAGTTTTGCTTGTACAGATATGATTGATTTTCACTGACTAATTATTCATTTATGGAGTATTTACATCACCACAAATGTAACTTGCACTCAATCTGTCCTGTAAAATGAACTACATATAGGATCTTATCCCTGCTAGGCACTGATCTTTAACCAACATGTTATCATGGGCCGCAGAGCGATGCAATATCTTATGTACTGTTTCTGCAAAGCATGTTTAGCATTGACTTTTACTGTTTTCTGCAGATAAGTTGCAGATGAGGCTTAGTGGAGAAGGTGGGATTAAAGCCTTGCTAGGTATGGTTAGGTGTGGACACCCTGATGTTCTTGCACAAGTTGCACGTGGCATTGCAAACTTTGCGAAGTGCGAGTCTCGAGCTTCTACTCAAGGTAAAGATATCTTGCTGTCATTGTTGTTTAAATGATGTTCGTTGTTTAATTTTAAAGGTTACTTTTAGGTATTGTATGCTCATGTTAATATGTAGTGTTCAAATCGGTAATAGATCTCCAACAATGTAATTCTATTCAACAAATTTTATTCATTAGTCCAATGATCAAAAGCCATTATTATATGAATTGGTTGTGGCAAATATCAACTTCCATTTCTCGCCTTTTAAAGACATGAATCAACTAGTCTCATCATATGAGAAGGCAAACTTAGGATTTAAGATATGGTCATGCGTATATATACCACTTTTGATATGGTTGCTGATTCACATTAAAACTTTTAAACGAATGCCTTCTGCTTAGGTAAGCTTGGACTGCCGTGTTACTGGTTGTTCGGTGTAGAACAATTACTCGCATATCTGTGATAATTCATTCCTTGCTGCAGGAAATAAGGCAGGTGTATCCCTCTTAATCGAAGATGGAGCTCTTCCTTGGATTGTAAAAAATGCCAACCATGAAGCTTCACCAATAAGACGCCACATTGAGCTTGCATTATGCCACTTGGCGCAACATGGTAATTTTGCTTTATGGTACTGAAATCTCAGCATCTCTTTTTTCTCTTGATAATGTTAACTATTCATTGCAGAAGTCAATGCAAAGGATATGATCAGGGAAGGAGCCTTGTGGGAACTAGTTCGCATCTCACGTGATTGTTCACGAGAGGATATCCGGATGCTGGCCCACAGAACTCTGATTTCAAGTCCTACTTTCCAAGCAGAACTAAGGCGATTACGCATTGAATTTTAAGATGTAAAAGATGGCCTGCCTCATGGATGGTGTGACGGGCGCAGTGCAGCTGGTCGATCGTGAGAGCTTCATATTTCACTAAGAGTCATGGAAACAAAGTAACAAAAAGTGTCGCCTAGATTCAGCTTACTCCATCAGTAGAGTGGGGATCAGATCAAACCAGTGGTTCACGAAGCTTTCATCGTTGGACGAGAGAATTCAAGATTTCTTGCCATTGATCATTGTTTGTTCATCATTGTGATAGTAAAACCCGATCTGCCTACACTGTACATGTGTTTGTTGGGCAGGGTAAATAGGGTGTGAAGAATAACTGAGGTGGTTTTGAGTAAGTGAAAGATTGAACCTCAGTGGCCACTGAAAGTATCGATCCGCCCGGCACCTGTATTGATTGGATAAATTAACTGGTTCTTGGGATTTTGACAACAGTTTGCCTCCATTTTTATTTTACTATATGAATTCCAATATTGAAACATATACAAGTCCACTGTAGACAAATGAAAAGCTGGTGTCATGTTGGGACATGTATAGGATTGGTTCCACATTTTGCTGTCCTTGAGCTTCAACTCTCTCGTGTCGAATGCTAATTAAGTAGATTTTCCGAGGGGTACTTATCGTGTGTATCGTTTAAGTTTGAATTTTTTTTTTATATTTTAAATCTTATTATTTGTACATAATGAATAGTTTAGATTTATTTAGATAAAGAGTATCAAGTCACCTAGATTCTGTATGTATTATTTCCTTGACTTGAGAGAGCTCACGAGATATCTCAGATTCCAACTTGCCTACATAAGGAACTCCAGTGGAGATAGCTTATGAGATGAAGGTTTGCTTCTGGCTGCTGTCAACTCTCCCTTCTTCACTTTTGTCTCTGATACAGAATAAAAATGGGTTGGGGTTGGCAAAGCAGGAACCAAATACTCATAGTAAGAACTAAGAGTTGATCTTGCCATATACCAAATGTATTTTAGTCTCTATATTTTTAAAAATTATATTGATATATTTATAATTATGAAAGTGAAATATTTAAATTTATTTATTTTAATATCATCAATTTTATTAATAAAAATATAAAAAATAAATGATAAAAAAATAAATTTGATAAGAAAATCTCTGTCCTCAACTCTGGTTGTTTTCATATCTTTATATCGTCGACATTATTTATTATTAGGATATTAAAATTAAAATTTTTTATTTTTATTTTAATATTTTTATTCGTAAAATCGATAATAATAGGATAAATAAACTTATATATTTTATTTTATAATTAAATAATATTAATATAATTTTTAAACTAACTACTAAGGATAATATATAATTAGTACGATCGCACGCACCCTACTTTTTATACAGTATCGTAGCAGATGTAAATCTCTCTCTCTCACAGTTCAGAGGTCTCCAGTGGCAGTGCTGTGATTATTATCCACTCCAATGGCATTTAAGTCCCAATGATCATAATAAAGCGTAAAAGGACAAAAGAAGTAAGTGAGAGTCGAGCACAGGTGGAGTCTTCCAACAGGTCGCCTCTCTTCTAAATAACAATAAATCTGACGTCAAAAATAAAATAAATAATAATAATTCTATATATATATATACATATATACGTATCTTTTGCATTCCCTAAGAGGTTATTTCGATATTTGTAGTATATATATTTTTCTCTCTTCTTACATTACTAATAATATTATAACAACAACAATAATAATAATTAAAATTCCTCTTTCTCTTTGCCTTTACATGCACTGTTCTCTCTTCATCTTCATGTTTCCTTTTGGTTTTGTGAGATCTGTAGTATTCCACTCGATGAGATAGAAGACGAGAGAAGTTAGGCAAGAGAAAAATATTTTGAGATTTTTTGTTATTTTTTATGATTTTTGTTGTTGCTGTTGTTGTTGTTGATGCGGAGCTCTTTGTGGTGTACTCTGATGGCCAGAGCTGGGGAGAACCCTAGCGATCGGAATCCGGCGGTGTCAAGCGCTTGATTTTGGAGATTCTTGGGAGTAGTTCGTCTCGGTATGGAGGGCAGCGAACAAGGAGGGGCCCCTTCTCCTTCGGTCGCTGTGGCGGCAGCGGTGGTCGGGGAGGAGAAGCCCGCCAGCGAGATCAGTGGGATGGCCGCGGAGCCGATGAAGAAGAAGACGGGGAGACCGAGGAAGTACGGGCCGGACGGGAGCCTGCTTCGGCCGCTGAACCCGATGCCGATCTCGGCGTCAGTGCCGGCAGGCGTCAAGTACACGTCGGCGGCCGCGGTGGGGGCGACGTTGAAGCGGGGTAGAGGGCGGCCAGTGGGTTCGATGGCCAAGACGCCACAGTTGGGATTCGATTTGGAGCATTTAGGTAATCCTTTTTATCGCCAGTCTCCGTCTTATATCTTCACCGACTCTTGACCTAAAATTAAGGCGTCAGTTTTGCGTTGTTTTTTCTTTTCTTTTAATTTTCTTTTTCGTGTCTTATATATTTCTTTAATCCAAAAAATTATTGATGCTAAAATGACTATTCAGATTTACTGAATATTTCTTCTCTTCTTAATTGACTATTTTTTCTAATCCAAAAATTATTTTTCATGGAGGTTTGGTTTTACTGATGATGAGGGGGTCTGTGGATCCCAAAACGGTCCTTTTCTTGGCGTTGTCTCTGTTACTTTTCATCTGAGTCCATTTTTGGTGGTAGCTGTCGGCTTGGAGTTGCAGAAACAAGTCACTGGGATCTGCCACGGGGACCAGAGACCGATGATCTCTATCTGCAGATCCGATGAGGTAGGGGTGTGTCGGATCTGGTGGAGAAAGCAATGTTTGTGGGGTTGGCTTGGGAAACCGCGGACGTGGATGCTTGCTCTGGTGCCAGTCCTGAGAAGGTGGAGAACAAGAGCTGATGTGGTATAGGATCATTCTCCGGCTGAAGACATATGGGGAACAGTCATTGGATAAGAACTTTCTGTCTTGGTTCGGATTGTTCAAAGGGATGGACGACATGGTGTTCGCTGCTGCTTTTGACAAACAACATAACCTCTCAGTGTCCATCCTCAGGGAAACATGATGTCTTAGGCATTAATTCTTGTGGTCAAACTCAGTAACTGCTAGATCTGTGTACCTGGATCTCTTCATCTTTTCTTCTCGAGTCATACCTGATGAATCAAAAGACTAGTTAGCTTTGGAGTTCCATGACTAGTAGCTGAAATGTATTTACCATATACAGTGTTGCATTTTGCTTGATTTGCTTCAAGAATACCCAGTACTTCAAAGACTTTTATTCTCTTTTCTGAATTGTATTGATGCAGGAGAGATGGGAGCCTGCTCTGCCGGCGCAAATTTCACACCTCATGTCATCACCGTTGCTTCTGGCGAGGTATTACTTCCTCGAACCTAAAATTAATTTCAACAGCTGTAACCCTTTATTGTAAAAAATCTGTCATATGCTGTATGTCATGCTAATTTTAGGCTGTCTACCATATGCCTGAAGTTCTTATCAAATACTTCTTTTCCTTTTTTAAATATGCCAATACAAGTATGCCGCTTTGGAGTTCCAGTGGCAATGGCTAGACTCAAATTGTAAACAGGTTCGACGAGTAACAAAAGGAGCATGCCAATAATATCTTAGAGCAAGCTCTTCTTAGTCTGTTATCATTGTAGGTGGTGCTAAAATCTTTCTCCATGGGCAATCGTTCAAGATAGTTCAAATTTCAGCTGAAATCCAGGTCATCTTTTCAGTGTAAATCAACTAGAAGCAGTGAGAAAAAGGCCTTTTTGTCACATTTTTTTAATTTCAGTTTACACTTTTGTCATCATCTTCCTCTCTTGCTAAACTTCTGCTGAACTTCCACTTGAGAACTCTGTGAATAATATGTTTCATTGGATTCATCTTTCACCAAAACTTGGATGCCTCCAAAAAACTATTCATTTTACAAAGTACTATTATGTAATGTGTATCTTCCAAAAACACAAGACATTAGACTTCAGGGAATCATTTGTTCGGAACTTCGGATAATACTAATGTCGCAGTTACTGCAACATAATATGATAAGAAAATAATGGTTGTTTGGATTTAAATACTGATAGAACAACAAAATTCAAATTTTGCATAAGATAAATGCAATATGCTGCAACATTTAAGTCTCTCATCCTTCTTTTGTAGTTTTGACATCTGTGTTCGCTTGGTTTGTTTTTATCTGTAGGTTGGTGACTTTTGTAGTTTTGACCTCTCTAATGGCATGTAACTGACAAAAGTAATGTATTCGATAAATGATGGCCTGATCAGACAAAATGCAGAATAATATTGGTTTGGCATAATTGGTGAAAATGGATCGGATAATATCTGGGAAATGTATCTATAAGTGGATAAAATCCTGATGTAGTTAATAATCAGATCAAAATTTTCTGTCTGTATGTGATATAAGGAAGTCTCATACATATTTTAATATCCAATTATCTTTTCTATTATGTATATAGAAACATCTGATCTTCTATTAGAACAATACTGTTTCTGGAGAGGGCATAAAACTACTTGTTAGTTGCTTTGTCTGGTTTATTTTCCATTCAAGTTCTACTTACCTGGACTCTGAATATCAAAAAACAAATTGAAAAAACAAAATCAGGTTCTAATCTGATTTTTTTTGTGAAATTAATCAGGAAAAGAAGTCAGGAGTCTCCTTTCAATGGAGTTTGATAAAGTTGCAAAGCCTCCTCTTATATGTTTCTTTTTTTATCTTGTCAAGATACCAAAACCTCTATTGAACATATTTCTAATTTATGTCTGTTATTGTTTGCAGGATGTTACCATGAAGATCATATCATTTTCACAGCAAGGGCCTCGAGCAATTTGTATTTTATCTGCTAATGGTATTATCTCAAATGTTGCACTTCGTCAACCATATTCAAGTGGTGGTACATTAACTTATGAGGTTTGTATATATCTTCATATAAAATATAGGATTCAAGTGTGGCAGTTTATGTCTTGGTAGAGAATGAAGTATGCGATTCAAGTGTGCCAGCTTTTTATAAACAGATCATCTAGTGTTGAATCGTATTATGAAAATAAAAAGTTTAGAATATTAAGAAGCACATATTCATGCAAAAATCTCGAGCAGCAAACATTGAAGATAAAATAACGTTATATTATTGCCTGCAAGTAAGTTATTGCTAATAAACATATCTTGATCCATTGGTTTGTTTGTGCCTTTGAGATGAAATTACTCCTTATGTGAAGTTTGTCACTTCTTCTTGACTCCTATTTTTGGGGAAATTTTGGACCTTTGCCCTGGCATTGCATGACCTCAGACAAAGTAGAACTTTCTAAATTTTTTAGCGGTCCATCTTTTATTTGACTTTGCCACATTTTGGAATTAGGCACTATGTTTTCTTTTGGCTGTAAAACTGTGCCGGAACATTGAGCCTTCTGTATGTTTAGACCATTTTTTTTCTCCAAAATATCACTTCTGGTCATTTGCCTTGTGG